TATATTTGGGTTGGTTTGGTTTTAACTAAAAAAAATCAACCCGAGACCAAACCAACCCGACATTTATATATGTAATTTTAAAATTTTATTTTATACGTAAAAATATTTGCTTTGATATAATTTTAAAATATTTCTTATACTATTTTCATAATTTTTTATCTTTTAATATATTATTTCAAGTTTAAAACTTGTAATTCGGAATGGTCCAATAAAGATTATTGTTCATATATGTTGATAATTATAATAAAACTTAAATCAAAATCAAATTAATACTAATGCAAAAAGAAGATCAATTCAACACTAAGAATGACAATAATATTGATATTTGTTCTTTAGTTTTACATTGGTTTAGACAATTAAAATACATAATCTAATTTTAATTTTCCTTAAATATTTAGTAATGTAACTAATACTTATTAAACTTATTTTAGCATGATTTAGTACTTTTAAATTATGATCATTTTCATTATGACTTTGCAATATTTATTTTATATGATGATTTCATTATTATTTTTTATTGAATATTTTAGTTGTCATCGGTACTCATCTCATTGTGTTATTTCTTAAGAAACACCTTAGATAATTGTATTTTGGTTGGACTAAAGAAATATTTGGAAGCACAAGTTAATTATATGTTTGTATGCAAACTTTACCGAAAAAATCCAAAAATCTGAAAAAATTCGAGGTTTATTAGTTTGGTTTGATTTATAAATTTAAAAAATTGACGCAATGGTTTGGTTTTGTATTTGAAAAACCCGAACCAACCTGAGGTTGAAAAATCCGAAAAAATCTGAATTTTATTAGTTTGGTTTGGTTTATAAATTTAAAATTTTGACACAAATGGTTTGGTTTGATATTTGAAAAACCCGAGTCAACCCGGTCATATACACCCCTAGTCACCGCGGACATGATTCTAAATAGAAAAGCATGAAGCTCTAAAACCATTAGGATAAAAGGTTAATATATAGATTGAACCCATTTTCGTATATAAAAGGTTTGAACACAAGTTATCTTGTGACATTTGCTTACTATAAATTATGTAGTAGGAATTGTTAAACATAATCTCATTAGCTTAAATGAAATTGCATCTTTGCAAAGTATATACATTGATTAATTAGTGAAAGTTCGATTAAAAGTAATTATACAAAAGTTAACAAGTTTGAAATTTGGATTAAAAAGTTGATAAATGGCATAATAGGAAAAAATAGGTATTTTATTTATTTAAAAACAAATTTTGAGGAAATTAATGTGGGATTCAACATCATGAGAAAAAAAGTTTAATAGATGGAAGGGTATATTAAATGTATTTTTTATCCAATAAATGAAGGGGAGAAGTAAATTTTATTCAATAGATAAAAGGAAATATCAAATTTAATTCAACATATAAAAAAAGACATTTTAAAATTATTTTTAGCACGTTAAAGAATCTGACCTTTTTTTTGCTCTTATAAAACTACAGTATGAAACCACTAAAATTTGCCCATTATTTAGTCTTAAAACAGTGTCTAGGTTAGTTTGTGAACACACCAAAGGCTGCTCTAATTAATATGCAAACTTTCCACTTTAATTCAACATTAGGAGGGGTGGCTTACCTCCGAGAAATTCGGAAAATTACACTTATTAATTTTAGAGATACATGGTCTTGAACTTTTGACTCTAATGTATCCTATAAACAAATCTACAAGGTTTAAAAAATAGTTATTACGTAGATAAAGTCATTCAATTTTAGAATTAAAAGTTGAAAATCTGACTCCGAAAAATAGATTGAAAACCTCTCTTTTTGGCTCTCCTTCAACTTAGCACTTTCTACTTCAACCACCAATATGTCATACTATCCATAAAAATTGACAAAAAGATAGAATGAAACGAAATGGAATCATTTTTAAAAAATGTTACATAAATAATCTAGGAATATAAAATATTAGCTAGTATTTTTTTATCTTGACAAATATTAAACATATTAAGTGATCAAGAGACATTTAATTAAATCAATCTAAGAGTGTTTTCCTCACCACCTTTATTTTAGGGGAGTTTCTCTTTAAAGATGGGATAGGGAGGGGCTAAGATGGTGTAACTCATTTCAAATATTCATAACTATGATAAAAGGAAGAAATCAATAAAACATGTGAATTCAATATATCCATTAAACAGAACAAAGATTAATAATAATTAACATTAAAAGAGAGAAAAACGTAAAATATGTAAAAAAGTAATTTATTGAGTCGTTGGATATAAATATATTTTCATTTAAGTATTGATTGAAATTATAACACCTCAAAAAAAAACGTATAAGGAAGGGTTTAAGAACGGTGGAAGAGTCCATGGTCAGTGAACCCATCTTTAAACTCAAGCCTTGTACCACGGTTAGCGAACTCATCCTTGATTGTGGCGAAACACACTTCTTCTCTTTTAATTGCTACGGTATTCACTGTTATTTTTTTTACACTAATGGGATGATAGTGACGCCGATGAAGGTTAGGTTATTTTTTGTTGATTCAAGATTTTCTATTTTTTTTATGGTATTTTAACTTTCTTAAGGATTTCTTAAGAAATTGCATCCCTCCCTGAATGGGCTCTTTCCTTCCTTGGAATTTTGAAGGTGGAGAAATCCTTGTAAAGAACTGTGGAAAGGAATCTATTGTTATCAGTCCTCTGTGGTTGCTATGTAATACACTAATCCTAAACCATAAAAAAATTTGAACCCTAAGAATCATTAAATCTTCAAAAAATTCTAAACCCTAAAAGCCTTGAGCCTTAAGAAACCTTAAATCCTGAAAACTTTTTAAAAACCTAAATCTAAAAGACCTTAAAAATTTCTTAAAAACCCTAAAAAGCTCTTTAAAAATTGTAAACCTAAATAAACACTAAAAAATCCTAAACCTTAAACCCTATAAAACCCTAAATACCCTTAAACTGAACCTAAATCCTAAGAAATTCTGAAAGAGTTCCTAAATTCTCCAATTGAGTTAGGGTTTTTCCTCTATGTCATGGTTCTTTTAAATGTTGATTTATTTGATTGATTTATGAACTTTTATGCATGAATTGATATAATCTCATGATTTTAAGGTGAATCCCCATGAACGCATGCTTAACTTATGTTTTCTAGATATTGATGATTGAAAGTGGTCTTGAACTATGAAAGATGAATTATGGAATTATGCATGTTCTTAGGGCTATTCAAAAACCGAACCAAAACCGATAATTCGAACCGAAAAAAAGTTATTGATTTATATTGGTTTAGCGGTTTTGAATTTTTGTTTTGTTATCAGGTTATCGGTTTTTAACAGTTACCAGATGATAAATTAAATACTTATATTTATACCATTTTGTACATAAAGTCATTGACTTAGAGTTTGATTTTCTACTTTTATTTCTAGTTGTCTCAAACACTTGGTTATTTGGCAGACTATAATGTAAAAATGTTTGTTTTTGAGCAAGATGTAACTTGTGAACTCATGTGCATGGTTCATTTGGTTTTTCACCTTGTTTCTAAGTGATTTTCAATGTTTTTTTTATATCAATTCTTAACGGTTAGACCGATAACCGAACCAATAACGATCAATAATCGATAAACCAATAATCGATAAGTCAATATTTTAATGGTTCTATAACGGTTTAGCATCTCTACAAACCGATAACCAATAAGTCAAATCGATAAACTTTAAAACCGAATCGAACCGATCGATACACAACCCGGCATAATTCTTTTGGAATTGATGAGATATGAAGTAGATTGTTTTGAGAGTAAAAGCATATATGTTGTTGTTGTGGTTAATTGTTGTGAAAGGATTGCTCACATAACTAACTCATGCATGAATGTGAAAGGTTTTCTCAAATTAAGGATTCTAAGGTTGAAAGGTCTTCTCACCTAAAATGAATCAAGGATAAGGAGCTATTCTAATCAAACCTAGCTTGGATTGGTTACTTCATTGTACCTTTCCATGGATGACGACATATGACTTAGCTTGGATTGGTAAGATGACGTGCCCTTCCATGGATAATAAAGACAAGTTAAGAAAATGACTATTCCGTGGGATTTACACTTAGCACCGAGAGGATATTGAGATGGGAGCTCTCTCGTTAGTAGAGGCCGAGTTTCTAGAAGCAATCTTTTTATCCCATACATATGTGCCCCCATAGGATGATTGTCTTAAATAGACATTAGCAAGTGGATCCACATAAGCTAGAAGTTCATGGTCTTAATTACTTTGGCAAGTAGGACACTCCTTTTTGGTGTGGGATAGACACCGAATTCCTTGTTGATAGCTGATCACATGGTCTTATATGTCGATTAAAGATAAATCTCCCACAACAATGAACTAAGGTTACTTCAAAATGTATCTCACAGACGTCTATTGACCATGTTTTGTGACTTATGTCCTCTAGTTCTTTTACATTCATGGTTCACGTGCTTACAAAATTTCTTTCTTTTACCATGAACTTCACTATATACCCAAAAAGTTATTGAAAATAAATTTGATCTTTCTTTAATTGAACTTGTTTTAACTTTAGTATATTTATTCGTTAGAAAACTGTATACAAAAATATTAGTGAAGTTCTTTATTGCATTAACGGAATCTCACTTTTGTATATTAAAATTGATTTTCCTTTTTCATCATTGCACATTAAATTTGATCTCACTTTAGTTTATTCATCTAAAATCTTATGAAAACAATAGTAAAATTTTGCTTCGCGTAAAAACAATTTTTGTAAGATAAAATAGAGTTCACCTGGGAAAAAAAACAAGTAGTCGTTATTACTATGACAAATGAAGAAATAATAAACGAGACATATATAATATTATCATGCTTTGCAATTGCTATAGAAAATAAAGGCTCCAAATTAAATTGTAAAAATCATTTTAACCATATTAATAAAGTAGATAACCAAAAGGTACATTTACGTAACACATGATTTATACCAATACTGTTTCAAATTTCATACTAATAAACTTTTGAAATTTGATTGAATCGTCCAAACGAATGAACAAAATTATAAGGTAGAAGAATGAATCATAAATATAAGTATACATGAATTTCGTAGGCTTCTTACCGGAATTTAACTTTAGATCGTAAGATTCCGTTAAACCGCCCCTGCTCAACATGTTAAAAAAACAATTATTTCACATGTTAACAGATTTACAAAATCACAGATAAGTTCATAAATCAAGAACAGTTTCCTTTAATTTGTTACAAGAGTAAGGATAAGAAACCTCAATCTTTACAGGTAAACTATGATACACTTGTATTTCTCTCCTCAATTCTCTTTCTTTATGTGGGAATTATGCTGAATACCTAACAAGCAGAGCCTATCATTTTCACTTCTTGTAAAACAAGCCCAACAGTGTTATCAACAACAAATAACAAAATCCATTCAAAAACCTTCATGTGTTCCGTCGCTCTAAACCAGATTGTTTCTTCAGCTGTGCTTCAAACTCTCGACAAACTTAGCTCTGAGTTAACCCTTGTTTTCCTTTCTTTCATTTACATGGTGACTCCATTTCCCTTTCACATTGTCGCCAATTTCACCTGCTGACATTGAGTTGGGGTAGCTCAGCTGAAGCATTTATAAGATATCATAAGCATGGTCCACTCAGTAGTCAGTACTACAAAAGTTTGAAACAAAATCTTCCATCGAGACAAGCCTTTGCATAGCAGGTGTAAGGTGCAAGGTATGAAGCAACCAAAGATATCTCAGATCGTCCCACAAACTACAGCTACACATGCAATGAAACATGCCAAAAATGGCACAAATGCATTATACAGAAATATTCTACAGCACATATGACAACCAACATGATGGATTTCGGTTCAATTGTAGAGATGGCATTCTTCCAATTTTGATGTTAAAAAAAAAGGAACTTGGACCTAACTCAACCCCAAAAGTTCACTCGTGAAATGAGGATTGTCTCAAACCATATAAGAAGACAATAATCCATTCTCTCGGTCAATGTGGTATGCATAACACCTTCCCCTCCCAGCACTCCCAGGCCTAGACATCTAGAGCATGGACAACAATAACATGAGGGGCCAACACCGGATAAACCAACAATTTGGATGGGTCTCAACCCGATACTATGTTAAGAAGATGGAACTGGGCCTCACTGCTCATAAGGTGAGGGCGTGAGGCTTGCCAAAATCTATATAAAGATGCAAAAGCTCATTTCCCCAACTAATGTTGGACACTTAACAGTTGATATCACAGATTGCATGCTTTCTTCACTCTCCTCAGCATCCCCCTTCCCCAAGCACCAACAGAGCAAAAGTAAAACCTGTGCCATACAGATTATGCATCCATACAATTGAAGTTAGTACCAACTTCTTCATCCCATTACATTTTCAACACTACTCACTTTTCTGGTTTCATTTCAGATATAATTTGAAAAAGGGTAGGCATGTCAATGCCAGGAATCAGAAAGCTGGCATTGGTAATTTTTAGCATTACTTGGCAGACACTTCTCCAAAGCATAATTTATTAAACTGAGGCAGGATGCTGCCAGCCTCTTTGTAACTATTATTTTCACTCTAATACTATCTATAATAACCAGATGATAGTGAATACAGAAAGCTAATGAAACACTGGAGAAAAAAATCCTAATGGAGGTAGAGATATTATTTACTTCCAACTCAAAATAAGTGGGATACCGGATATCATAAGCAAGATACAGAAAGATGGACAGACCAAAAAAAATTAACATTGTACAGGAGTAAATGACTTACCTACCTACTTCTAACTCTGCATGCCATAGGAAGCCAAGTATAGGGAAACTCAAGGAGCTACACCAAAATAGGGTGATTGAAAACATAAACAGGAGGCACTAGCTTGTATCATGATCTGGCCTAGACATAATATAGCTGTGGTTTTTCTTCAGGATCTCTGCTTCTCTAGCTATCTGGATGTCTGAAGGGCGGAAACTTTGGTTTATAACTTTGACAATAAAGCGAGGAAGCAAAGCCAAAACTATAATAAGCAAAATTGAGAGCCAGTAAGTAGGAGATTTTGCCAATTGAAAGATTGTACTGCAAGAAGACAAAAGAAATAAGTTAGTACCATGCCATAAACCTCAATAACTTTAAAAATGGTTAGACCCAATATTATTGAACTTCACAAGGAAATACTAACTTATAATTGGGGAAGACAGGTATTAAGTCCAGCACCACCAAGCAGCCATATGTGATAACAATTGACCCCCATATTGCCATATGAGTAAATATTAACCACCGCTGTACGTCCATTGCCAAGTGCATGTTTACAAGGATCACAACAGCGATTGTCCATAAGCTACCCATACTCCATATGTCAATATCACTCTGATCATAGATGAACAATGGTACATAAAAGAGTACAAGACTCTGCCACACTGTATCAAGCATTGTGACCCAGAAGAGTTTCATGTTGTAACTCTCCTGTCTATAGCCAGCAGCATAGAGTTTTGGATACTTCAGTAGTGTCTTATGACTTAAGTCCTTGTCCAGAATACCAACAACTAAAGTAGGTATGGAAGTATAGATGAGAGAATAAAACACACTACTCCAATCTGTCAGCGCAGATGTTGTAGAAAAGGCTGCATACAATATGTACCTACATAATACCAAGTACAGGAATATAGTCAGATGACAAATGCATTATTACTCAAGTGTTGCATCATCAAACACGATAATTTGACAACAATCAAAATAAGAGGGGACTCTAATGCATGAAACAATTGCGAAACTGATAAATCAAACTCAGGTAGTCAGCATGTAGAAAATAAATATTAAGAATGCATCCTCAGCATAGCAAAATATGTTGAAGGCACAACGTACAAAGGGAAGAACTCACTCCCTCTATCCCAATTTGCAGAGTTCCTTTCATTGATAAAATTTATAGATGATGCTAAAGTACAGGATTACACAGAGATGAGTAGGTAAATCTCTTTTACTTCATTTTCAGTCAAACTAAACATAAGGGAAGGATAATGCTTCACCTAAAGAAGAACTAGTCAGTCTCCCCTCCCCCATCCTTTAACCAAGCATAGTTTATGAATCAGTTTAATTTCCACTCAAATGCAAATCAAAGCCAAAGCTACCAGCATGACCACACGCACACACAACTCACATCAACCATCTGGAGATTAGACCCAATGTTTTTGAGAAAGAGTGTCAATAAAGAAGAAATAATAGATATGCTTTCTACTCTCCTTACACATAAACTGCAAACTCAGCTTAAAAATTTCCTTTGTTCTTTGGTCAGGAGACACTACTGTCAGAGAAAAGACTCTTTTCTTGGATTTCTTGGCATTAATGTCGCATTGTACAGTGGTTCAGGCCAGCCGTTTTAAGCATCAAGATATGGATGAAAATTTGGCAACTCCATAACCACTTTCCACAGTGCTATACTGAACATCAATAATCTTCTTATCCTAGTTCCTCTAATTTACAGGACTAAAATCTTATTTCGATCTACTCATGATACTTTCCTCCCCCCTCTTTGCTTTTCATAAGAAACCCAGGCTGAGATGGTTTGGGCATGTGAAGAGGAGATGCACAGATGCCCCGTGAGGAGGTGTGAGAGGTTGGCTATGGAGGGTATGAAGAGAGGTAGAGGTAGGCCGAAGAAGTATTGGGGAGAGTGATTAGACAGGACATGGCACACTTGCAGCTTACCAAGGACAATGACCCTCGATAAGAGGATGAGATCAAGGATCAGGTTAGAAGATTAGTAGGTAGTCGAGCATTGTTCCCTTATCAGTATTATTACTATTACTCACATACTATCTTGTTCTTCGACCTTATTGTTACTTGTTTAATTTGCTTATGGTATTATGTGTCATTGCTACAGTTCTCTTCTCATTATGTTCAGCATGACTGCTTCACTATTGTATCACCTTTTTCATACGTGATTTTCTTCATGCTTTACTTGAGCCGAGGATCTATCCGAAACAGTCTCTCGACCTTCACAAGGATGCGTACACAACACCCTCCATAGACCCCACACTAGTGAGATTACAATGGGTATGTTGTTGTAATTTCCCCCCTCAGATATTGTCTCTTTCATTAACTCGACCTTTCCTTGAACTAGCCAATTACTGACTGCCAGAGATCTTTACCTTAAAAGTTTTTTCCCGAGCAGTCCCAAGATTACAATGGGTATGTTGTTGTAATTTCCCCCCTCAGATATTGTCTCTTTCATTAACAATATGAATATTTTGCAGCTACACCACTAGTACCACCACTGATTTTAATGTATAGTTTCCTCTTTTCTTTTCAATGGGAAGAGGACGCATTGTTGCCCAGATACCATACAAAAGAATGCAGGCCAGAAGGAAAAAGAATAATACCAGAAAAGCATGAAAACGAAAACAGCATTTCTGTAGAAGTTGTAAAGAACCAAATAACCAACTCGCTGGTAATTCCAATGTCCATGCACAAGGAGCAATCTTTTCAGAAACCGAAACTGTCCCATAGCAAAATCTGATGCCATCACTGCTTGCCGCCCTTCTTGACCACATAATCCAACACCAACATCCGCCATTTGGATCATTGAAACGTCATTAGCCCCTGAGCAAGTTTTTTAAATTAGGTGCAAAGAAATGAAGAAAATCATCCCATGAAATGCATCTCAAAAAGCAGTAATGCAATGTACATGAAAAACCTTAAAACATGACTCCAAAAAATAACTTCAAAACTTTATGCACAAATCATAGAATTGCATTCTTCCAACAACCAACCAAGGTTCTGACATAAGTTTTCCCTTGTACAGACAAGGCATCGGATGTAGCTAACTTACCATCACCTATGGCTAGTGTCATATCATCTGTGCGGCTCTTTATTAGGTCAACAATTCCAGCCTTCTGCAAGGGAGCAACACGACAGCAAATCACAGCCCTACATGAGGTTGCAAGGTCGAATAGCTGTGGAAGGATTGCAATCATACATTAGGACACAAGCTACACAAAAAGAAGAAAAAAAGAGGCAATGTATACCGCAACATGTATATTATCACAATTAAGCCTTAGAAGGGAGATATGGTTCATACCTCGGTCTCGAGATCTTTCTCTAAGATGTATACCAGACTATTCCCATCAATTATGAGTGCCAAAGGTCCATCAGAAACTCCTTCCTCTCCTGCATGCGGCTCTGGCAAATTACTTGACTGCATACTAGCAGAAGCTTCGAGATAACCATTTTCTGCATCCCTCTGGAATGTTGAGATTTGATTACAACAACTTGCAGAGTTTATACCATATTTGATTTTAGCATCAAACAATAACCTCTTGCATTCATTTTCTGAAGTGCCATTAATGATGATCCGCTGCATGTCTGAGGTCAAGAGTTTGCAAGACATACCAATTGAAATTGCGGTTTCTTGCTTATCTCCAGTAAGAACCCAAACCTTCATTCCTGCTTGACGCAGAGACTCAATAGCTTCTGGTACACCCTCTTGTAGTTTGTCCTCAATTGCACTGGCCCCTAGTAGAGTTAAGTTGCATTCTATAAGAGATGCTGTTTGGCGCAATTTTGCTGATCTGTCAGTCAAAGATGTGCTAGCTTCCTCATACATGAATTGCCACTCATCCAGTTCTTCTCCCGTAAGATCCCTTGCAGCAACAACCAGGGTCCGCAAACCTTCAGATGAGTACTCATTCAAATGGCTAAGAGTGACATTTTGTATGTCGTGGTGGCTTTTGTGTTCTTTCCTTAAAATGCTAAACATCGTAGTATCAGCCCCTTTGACCAAAACTTTTACAGCACCACTTGGGAATCTGATAACCACAGACATTCTTTTGCGTACACTGTCAAACTCATGCAGTCCCAAGACATCCAACCTGCAGCAGCAGGCCAATAAATCAATCCACAATTCTGAAGGACGGAGAACAGACTATTGCATGAAAAAGATTTATTTACAACTAAATAAAACAAAGTAAACAAGAAGAAAAAAAGTGGAATTTAAGGAGAGAAGAAACTATGCTTTGGAAACACTCCAATGTCATAGATAGAGTACATCACACCTACTAGACTAATCCACAATATTTAGTGAAGTTCTAAAAGTGTCCATGTGCAGCTAACACCAAATTAAAGATTTTGAGTGAGAGCAACTACCTTAGTTTCTCACCATTGACATCGATCACAATATGACCAGATGTCCGCTCACAAAGTGTATATCCATATGCAGAAGCAGCAGCAACTAGTGCTTGTTCGTCAGGAGATTCACCTTGATACGCAATGGTGCCAACAGTGTCATGCACTTCATCCAAAGATGAACTATGGGTAAGAATAGGAATCACGGTATTACATGCTGCCAATGTCATAAAGAACTCATGTGCAGCAATCCTCTCTTCCCCGGCTAGCTCAATATGTAACAGTTCCATAAGTTCAGAATCAGTTGGAATTTCTGAGTTAAGCCTCAATTTTCTTCGACTTGAAGGCACAGCTGTTGGTTCTGCGCAAAAGATTACAAAAGATATTGTCCAGTCTGCAGCACAAGCATAGCTAGAAAAAAGAGAAATCTCAAAAGGGAACATCACATAATGTATAGTTTTCACTTCAATTTCATTTAATCTGCAAGGATATGCATGCGCACAATTACCTATTATACAGGGCATATCATTGAATTTAATAGTAGCAATAAGTAAATAAATAAGCATTTTTTTATAAATTATAAAGTAAATAAACCGCATTAAAATGTGGGCAAAAAAACGCCAGTATACAAGAGGTATAACAAAAAAGTTGAAAACCTACCCAAAAAAACGTTGGTTTTATGCAAAAGACACCCAATCTTCTATTCAACAAGGAACCTCATGGTTGCACCAAAAAGAAATAAGGGATAAGAGGCTACTCCTCAATTAAACAAAATTCATCACTACACCTTCAAAAGCTCTCCTATTTCTCTCTTTCCAAACACAACACACATAAATGAAAGTGGGGCAACACTCCAACCTTGTGTCTTCTCTTTCTTTTCCCAACACAGTGACACACCAACTAAACATTACACACTTTACCGTGTCTAGCATCACCTAAGAGAGTCCAAACCATCCCAGAATTGTCCATCATAACCTCGAAGCAACCCGACAATGTAGAAGGAGGTGGTCTACATCTTCGCCAGACACCTTACACATAAAACTCCAACCAACACAAGTACCTTCCACTTCCTCAGGTTCTCGACCGGCAAAATGACCACTTAAAGTCACACCCTTGGGAGCTAGATGTAAGAAAGATAGATAACATTTTTGTCTCTGTTTTTTTAATCAGTCGTTTCATTTTTTATTTTATTTTTTCATGCAAAATTAGAACTTATAGTCGGGATGGTTGGGTCTTTTATTTTTAAAAAGATCAGTCACTGCACAATATCATCTCTACGTACAGTACACAAGTCAACTAACTGGAGCCTTTGGGTCCATTACTTGTATGAGACATACACAAGATTTGAATAACTTGTACAATTGCATTTGAAAATGAGCTCATTCCCTAATATCTATTGAACTCAAATATAAGGAAAGGAAGGAACCGCAACAAGCAAGGCTCAAACTGACTGCAACAGATACAGATATTAATGTTGGCAGATTGGGGGTTTTGAGGCTGAAGTTACAAACCTGTTACTATTTAGTAAAGAGCATCTACTTTGTACACTCCATAATGTGAGGTCATAATCAAGAAATATAACAAGTAGCTGAACTTGAAAAAGATATGTCCATACAAACTCTTACTTGAGAAAAGACAGCACCATCAAGGAATGAATCATTAGCCATTTGGCAATTTCTCATGCGGTGAAATCAATGATTAACTAACATCAACAATAATAAAAAAGAGACTGCATTATGGATTCCTATTTCTTTCTTCTAGTTATTAAAAACTCTCCATTTTTTTATATTTAAGTCTTAAATAATCTCTTATTCCCTCCTCGGCACTTCTTTTGTTGCATTTGTTACTTCGATTTCTTTTCACAATGCATAATAGGTAAAACACTTATAGTTATCTACTTCTTTAGTTGCATTTGTTACTTCGATTTCTTTTCACAATGCATAATAGGTAAAACACTTATAGTTATCTACTTCTTTAGTTGCATTTGTTACTTCGATTTCTTTTCACAATGCATAATAGGTAAAACACTTATAGTTATCTACTTCTTTAGTTGCATTTGTTACTTCGATTTCTTTTCACAATGCATAATAGGTAAAACACTTATAGTTATCTACTTCTTTAGTTGCATTTGTTACTTCGATTTCTTTTCACAATGCATAATGGGTAAAACACTTCTAGTTATCTACATCATTGACTGTACATAGTTTGAGATAATGCTAATGATATAGTAATACAGGTTAAAAGATTTAAATTATGTTTGAAAAGTATATTGTGTATGATAACCATACCTCCAAAATCCAGGTCTAATGATGCACCTGCAGCAGAAAGGGCTCTCCCATAATTTTTTCCCCACACACTTGCTCGTTTAAATTCCATCTTATTTTCAGTAAGTGTTCCTGTTTTATCTGAAAAAATATAACGTATCTGACCCAAATCCTCATTGATATTCAAGGATCTGCACTGAAACCTTGAATTACTGTTATCGTCATACATGTGCCTGTCTCCAATCATAAAATACGACTGTCCCAAGCGAACCAACTCCATCGTGATGTAAAGAGATATGGGTATCATTATCTGGAAAACTATGACGGAACTCAAAAAAGAGAAAAATGTTTCCATAGGAATCCCATAATATCTATACCGTTTACCAGGATGTGTTCCTTTTTCAGAGTAAACTTTCCGGTAATAAGGCAGGGTATCAAGCTGCTTCTCATGTTCTTTCAGCCATACACACATCCCGGATGCTACTGCCAAGCACATGACGAAAAGAAAAACAGACAACCAAAGTGTTTCCCGATTCATGTAGGTCTCCAGCCTGCTTCTTTTGGAAGGAGATGCCGCACTGTTTAGCATAGCCTTGGTCTCTTGACCAGCATAAACTGCCACTCCCATTGCCCATTCTGTGTTCTTCAGCTGGCAACCACGTAAGATAATATTTGATTGGCTGAGTGGAAACTTATGCCTGTTTAACTCCATGTTGGCTGTGAACTCGTAGATATTCCTGTTAGGCTGTTCACATCTGATAACTCCCGAAAGTGTCTCCACTTCACTCACTAATGAAGTTGTTTCTTGCCTAGCATACCTTGTCTTCAAGTTTGATTCACCATCTAGATTCATTGTCTGGATATAAGCAATCCCACTAGGATCACTTGTTCCTAACAACACCATATCACAAGGAATTGTCTCATCAGCAAGGATTTTCACAACCTCACCAACCCTAATATTCTTCCATCTTTTCAACTCAAACTTGCCGAATTGAAGTACTAGAGCCTCCCGATTATTCTCATTCCTGTCTGACCTGTGTCTTCGCCAATCCTCATAACCATCTTTTATAGCTGTCACAGAAAGCACAAAAAGAAGAGGAAATAGAGATACAGTTCTACCAAAAACTGCAAGAGGTGGAAGCTGATTCAGAGCAGCAATTGCTAAAAAATATAAATAAGCAACCCGGTGGAACTGAATGAAGAGATTTTTAGGCAAGAAATTTATTATTGTATATTTGCTAGTACGGATCTCATTTCCAGTGAACTCAAATTGATCATTGGTCTTTTTTGGATCATTAACATGAATCAACCTAGCGTTACTTCCGTGTAACAAGTCATTCTCCAGCTGCATACTTTTTTGAAGATGCCTCTGGGATTTGTTTAGCTTATCCTGGCCACGGGATGAAGCCCTTGACTCATCAAGATGTCTTTGGGATGACGTCCGAGTGGACGCTGCTCCAGATGACGTCACCCTAGAAGAATCACTGGATATTTCAAAGGTCGTTTGCTCAAGCGGATGGTCTGCAGTACCACCCCATGATACAAGGCGTTTCCTCTCCCGTGAAGGGGGGTATTTTGATGAAAATGACTGTAGTTCAGCTGTCCCATTTCCGCTCACAAGTGAAGAAGAATGTAGCCTAGAATTCTTTACACCTGATGTATCTTCTAGTGGTTGATTACCTCTGTCCACCTCCTCCTTCAAGTCACATAATTTGGTCCCTGGTGACTCATCCAAATCAGCAGAAGCTGATGCATTCTGGGGGAGACATCCCAACGAGCAGATCCCCAATGATGAGTTATTATGGTGAGGGCTTGGTGCAGAAGAAGGCTCAAATGATGACAGCAATGGCTTGCCGGAAGTCATAAATACTCCTCCAATGAAATCGCATTGGAAAGTATCAAGCTAAAACCCCAAGATTATCTCAAATCCCTAAAGTATCCACAAAAATTAACTTCCCAAACCTTATTTCTAACCCCTGCTAGCTGAAAATATTCAACTTGCGTTTTATTCCAGTATCAAACACGTGGAGTCCGAACATCGGAAAGGCACCAAATATAAACAAACCCTTATTTACCTTGAATTTACCATTAAATGCTCAAGCAATCTACAACCAAAATACAATCACCAAAAAGGCGCTGTACTCAATCTTCGCGCCAATAGGTGACAAAATCTCTTGCTTAATCCTCAAAACTCTTGTAATACTCTTGTAATAATGCAAATTCCAAAGAACCCCACCAAAAAAAAGACGATTTTTTTCCTGTAATTCAACTTCAACCGATCAAAACTCAGAAATTGACAGAAAAAGAAAGGAGCAAATCCACATAAAAGTTAACGCATCCACTAACTATCGAAAACCCACCCGGCAAATGACGAAACATAAACAATAATTCAACTAGATCTCAAAAAAGGCACAAAATTGAAAAAATAAAAACCAAATCCCCCTTAACTAAAACGCAAATTTCGCAACAATGCAATCAAATAGTGAAGATAACAGATCTAATTAACCCAAATAAAAAAATAAAACACAGATCTACGAATTACAATGAAAACACCCGATCCCGATCAGCTTAATTAACCGAAATGAAAAACAAAACAAAACGGAAATAAACAATTACCTGTTTTTCGTAGTAAAGGCAATTCAGAAGATTGAAAAAACTTTGTTGCTTATGGAGAATTTAGATGGAGACGGAGATCGACCGGAGAGAGAGAAGAGGAGAGAGAAAGCGTGGAAGAGGAGAGAGAAAGGAGAGAGATTGGTGGAGCAGAAATATTGGCTTTATTTGGGTTTTCTTAACTCGTCGGTCTCTGCCTCCCCCTCTTTTACCCCCGGTGAACACTTTTTATTTATTTATTTTGCTTTATCTGTTTCACACCTTTTCTTATTAACTTCCAAGACCTTCTCTTTCTTTCTTTCTTTCTTTCTTTTTTTTTAAAATTATTGGAAGTTATTATTACTATTTCTCCAAATAAATTTTATTTTTCACAGCTAGATTACTGCATGATAAAATGAAACTTATTTTCCGGAAAATATTTTGAATTGAAAAAGTCATTTTTTAGGATAACACCCCCAACTTTTCGAAACTCTAACTTAACTCGTACCTTCGTGACAAGATGAAGAGTGATTTATAAATTAATAATGATATGGTATGTCATAATTTAAGTATTCAAGGATAGTATCTCATATTTTGAAGTTAAGCAAGTTGTGAAATAAAAGTTGGCGAAAGTTATCGTAAGTTTCTTTTAAAGTTTTTCTGAATTTGGGTCAAATATCATGGTGACTTTCTCTCAATCTATAATGAGTTATGGGGATCATGACCTATCAAATCGAAGGTCTACGAGTCTAGTTTTCAAAGCATTAAACTGTTTATTCAAAAAATTCCAGAATAGAGAGATATTTGCATTTTTGCAAGATGACGCAAGCAGGCATGTGAGGTGGGCCAAAGTCAGTGGAAACTTTTATTTAATCAGCCACCTTCATTTTATTCTTCATTTTCACGTTCCAGCAGCCCAAAATACAGAGAAAATCTCCCCAAATCTATAAAATACTCTTTAGGTCTTAGTGATTTCATCTTGCAAGGTTCAGAAAAGTTGTTCTACATCGAGAGCTCATCATATTTGCATATTATTTCCTATCAATTTCATGGTATATATGCGGGGGTGTTGTAGCAGCTAGGTACCATGATATCCAGTGTTCTAGATACTACTACAAGGATGTATAGCAAGTTAAGATCGCTCTTTTATCGGTTTATAGCTACTTTAGACCTACATGAGTGGTATTTCGTTTAGTGAAAATTCGTATCTTTTGTCGAATTATTGTAGCACCATATCTTCTTGCATATTGATTTAGCTTCTACCATATTGTAGTATTACATGGGTGCGGGAAAAGGTTATTAATTGACTGCTTATAATCATCAAAAGGTATGTTAAGGTTACTCCTTTCGTTCGGCATATTTTCTTAATGCTTAGGAGCAATACAATAGGGTTGTTATCGTTGGTGAACGTGTAGACATAATTGTGAGTGATTGGCTGATTGAGTGGTTATAATCATTTTTTCTAGGACTCGCAATCTATTAATAATGGTCCTATGTCGGGCACGACTTGGAGACTACTCGTATAGGTTGCTTATAGCTAAATTGCTCGCCTTTAGTCTATTGAATTATTTTTTATTGCCCTTGAGAATATTGTTGTTGAGCTATGAATTGCCTACGGGGCTATATTGTTTCCTAAGAGGGATATGTTGTTGCCTAAGATACAACATAGTCGATCTTACCACTACTCTGTAGAAATTGCCTATAAGTTTTGATGACACATTTTATCATACAGGACTCCAGAAGCGAGCCTCTATTTCATCCACCGTACAATAATATGATGTGTGAGATCATCGTTTATCTCCTCATTACTTTGGATAATAGACTCAAGATAATTGAATCCATTATTTTGGATGGCCTGGGTATGAAGCCTTGCTTCCAAGTCTGCCTCGTGTATTATGTAGAACTTGCACTTAAGTATTAGGGTTATATTAATGCCAAAGATGGCTATATTTTGCCTGTTAACACCCAATTTTGGACCTCCACAAGGTAAATTAATCATCGAGCTTCTTAAATTTCAAACGATTTAAAATAATTAGTTTTATAAAATTTCAAAATAAATAGTAATATAACATAGTTTGCAAGTCATTTTAAATAGTTTGTCATTTTTTTTATAAATTTTAGATAATATTTATGCTTTATATAGTTATATATAATTAGTATATTTTATAAATATTCAAAAAATCATCTCAAAAAGATGTTATTTGAATTAGTTAGTTTAAAATTATGGTTTTAATTTTAAATTATCTAGTTTATAGTTAAATTAATTATTATATTTCGTTAAGATTAAAAAGCTCGTTAACTAATTAATGTTAATTCATCTAAATTAAACTCAATATGTTTATCTCTTAAAAGTTCTAACCCCTTTTCTTAGTTGGGCCAAAATCAGCAGCCCACTTTTTCAATTTCCAGACCCAAATCTGAGCCCAATCCCTTCTTTTTTAATACAATTTCCAGCCCAACATACAATACACAGCAATTCCAAAACAGCCCAAAACCGACCCCACTCCTATACGTTTCTTCTTCCTTCTCCGCGGGACGTGAACAAACCCAGAAACATCAGCGAACAACGTAAGCAACCCCACTGCCCATACTGGTCTTCTTCTTCTTCACGCCTTAAATCCAGAAATCACGGAATCAGTAATGACTCTAAACAACACCAAACCGACCCCACCCCCTGCACGTTTTCTTCTTCTTCCTTGCGTGTGAAATTCAGCAGTCCATCAACGTCCGAAAATCCCACCAAATCGCGGAAATTCAGCAACCTTATCCAAAAGAGAACTTGAATTTTGAATTCAAATTCTTCCATTTCACCCGTTCCCCCCTAAAATCAACATCAAATTCCTTTATATAAACCTCCATCTTCTTTAGTGTTTGGGGAGAGCGGGCATACATGGTTTTGGGAGTTTAGTTTTGAAGCAATAGTCATTTTACAATTGAAAACTTTCAAGTGATTCTCTAATCCTAGGTTCCGAGGAAATCTCTGTTCGTAGCCGGTTTTTGAACTTCTTGGTTTGCTATTATTAGTATTTGCATCTTGTGGTAGAAGAATCATTGTCCAAAGTTCGTCGTTTCTAGTTCGCTGCCCCCGGAAAGGTAACGCCCCTTCCTTTACAATATTTTGTCCTTAATATTTCAAAATGATGTTTCCGGTGTCTCAGAGGTCTGTATTGTTGCTGTTTGTTATTAAATTCCTGGCATAGTGATGTGTAGTATCTGTGTTCTTTAGCAATTTCGTTGTCTACTCCTGATGTCGTTTCACATTTTGCTATTTTTATGCCTAGTTTCACTGCTTCTCAATGGTAATTTTAAGGCTATTTCGCTAGCCCTCATCTCGAGTTCGCTTGTTTGAATGTCGTTGAATACTCATGTTTAAGTTTTCACAGTCTCTTAGCGTCAAAGGTTTCACTTAAGTTCTATTACTATTGGTGTTTGGCTCCCCTCCGAAATGAAGGCAGAATCTCAAGTTAGGTGATATGAAATCGTGTGTTGTATCGCCTATTTTTGTTGGATGCAAGAGCTTGGCTTCTCTATTTTCAAATTTCGTGATTATCCTAATGTTCAACATGTTGCGTTTTGGATCAAGTTTTCGTTTTCTTTGTGTTGGATGCTAGCCGAAATGTTGGTCATCAACTTGCTGTTAAAAAAAATGTCTTAATTTAGTAGCATTTGGTGTTCCAAGCAAAAGTGTATCTCTGTTTGCTCACCCGTAATTTGTTTAAGTGTTTGAAATTTTTGTATTTGGAAGAAAATTGTGAATATCAATGTATATACAGTGTTACAAGTGAGCTCAATATCTTCCCTCGTGATTCCTAGTCAAATAAGTATGCATTAATCTTCACCTTAGCATGGTCTTTCATTTATTGTATGAATTTATTTATGTGAGCTAATGTCCTTTGAAGTGTGCGTTACTCATTCTTAGGATCTTTTTGAGTTCAAATCAACTAACTATATGCAATTTGGAATATAATTTAATCTTTGATGCTCATAGTCAACATGATTCATGCCCCCACTGTTTGTTGTTTTTTCTTCCTTCTCTTTTATTTATTAGTATCATTTTTATTTTTGCATGCATTGATTGTTATACATATGTTTTCCAGCAACTATTTGTTCTTAAATTAATAAATGCTTGACTTTGTTATTGGTGGATATTTAGCTTTATCTGTTAATTTATTTTGTTATGGCTTATTAAATGCTCCTTGTAATGTGTCTCTCATCAGTCGCTGTAAATGATTCTGAGTTGTTTGAATTATCATTCTAATTCTTATCATTTTCTTTTTCTTGCATGAATCTCTTGTTTCGAGTCCAATTTGGGATTCTCTCCTTCACTCCTTGCATCCCGAGTTGGGTTGAAACCCAACACTCCTCTTTTTATCGAGTCGGCTGTCATCATGTTCGAGTTTTGAAAGTGGATGGACAGGGGTACAAGGCCATAGTCGAAATACAAGCCTCCAAAAGTCCTAAAATGGACATTATACATTCAATATACACTGTATACATTCAGTATACATCAATACATGTCGAAAAATGTGGGAATACAGGGCTGAGGCGAAATATAGGTGTTCGGAAGCAAGAGATACATAAAAAGGGCTGATACATACACTCATATATACTGATATACATCAGGTGTATATAAAAACGGATTTAGGATTAAACCCCAAAAATTCTGGCAAAATTGGCCCAAAAGGAGGCCCAAATTCAATTTTTCCCTTACTCTTTAATTATTTAATTATGATTGTTTATTGTTTGTTGTTTAACTCTAACTTTAGAATTATTAATTAACCTAATTAGATTCCCCAAAAGATAAGTTATTTTCTTTGTGTTGGTTAACTTTTAATATTTATTTTATTTTATTAATCAAATATGTCGATCAAATTATACTTTCTAATTAAGTTAAACCTTTGATTCTTAAGATATATGTTTTAACGCCTCTTCACTTATTCATATTATACTCATTTTAAAATTATTATTTTTAGATAAAATATTTTTTCTTAAATAAACTTTAAAAATGTTAGTCAAAACCTTTCCAATAAAAAAAAAGTGTAAAATATATAATTAGTCGTTTTCTCAAAAAGGTTAGTCAATTAATTAAAAATGATTTTTATGCCTTAATTTATTAAATTGGTTTAAATTATTATTTCAAAGTGAATCAAATAAATTCTAATTAATCTAGTTTTGTTAATATTCTAATTACTTGTCTTTAATTCAAATGGTTCAATTAAGGTCCCATTTTTCAAAAAATAAAATA